GCTCCCAGAGGAAATACAGGGTTAGGTTAGGTTCCTGCAAACTTATGGCCACAATATTTTTGTCAACCAATCAATGCACAATATTGTCTTATGTATTTCAATATACAGACACTTTTTAAATATGTATTGTTGATTAATTAGCATTAAACTCATGGTCAACAGCAATATAAATCATACCCGAATGAAGCTTATTTAACGTGTGTTGTTTTTCATCAAGGCACATTATAGCCTTGCTGTGCTTAGGGACACTAGACAGCAATTCAGTACCATGCTTTGGGGCCATTTGCAAAAGTGAAATCACCAATAAAAAGCACAGTTATGCAAAAACCATGACACAAAATAGACGTGAAAAGGACTCTTGCTTATAGTATGATGGCTGAAGCAGTAACACAGAGCACTCTCTGGTTTGACCTCAGCTGGGAACATGTGCATCAGGCAACTCAAAATGTTTTGCCAGTCTGCTCATGTATGCAAATAGTGCAAAAGCACTGTGAGTGTTAATTTTAGGGTTACAAATAAATTTTTGCAAATAGGCAAATCTGTAAGTATTGAATCTGTGATTAATGAAAATCAACAATTTTTGGAGCAGGTACATTCTTATGCAAGTCTTCTCATTTAGGAATTTGGTATTTTCTCCTTTTGTTCATGACTTGTTTTCTGTACTCAATGCAATATAATTTTCTTTAATTGGGTCTTGTATTATTTTTGTGAATCTTTTTTGTAGTTTCTTTTAAATATAATTTTTACATGTATTTTGAATGAGGTTTTTATAAAATTTCTGGCCAATTATTGCTAGTACAGTGAAGAATTTTGTGTATTTTTATTTTATTTTTTCATCATCATTTGAAGCCTATTAATTTTAGTAATTTTTGCTAGTTACCTTGGGTTTCTTGGTAATTCACAATTAAATTAGCTACAAGTAGAAGTAATTCTGTCTGTTATTTTTCAGCATTTTAATTTTCTTTTTAATTATATGTTCAAAAATTTCCTAAAATATTTAATAAGAATGATGACATTTGGCACCTAGCTTTCAATTCTGGTTTTGTAAATGAAAGCATTCTCAGTGAAAGCATTCTCAGTGTAAACTATCATATGTAAAGTAAATAAAACCACATCAAAAGGGAGAAGATTACCATTGTAGATCGTTTGCTGAATCATTGAATGAATTCAATATTATCACTTGGCAATAATCATTGATCTCTTCAAAGATGTTCAGTGCTAGTGTGCCAACTTAATAGATAGCAAAGATATATTTTTTTACTATCACTACATTGTGATTGAGTAAAGTTCCACATTCTTTTCTCCTAGATCAGCCACAAATCAGAATTTCTGAACTCATCAAAGTCTAGGCTACACTGAAAATTATTACATAAGACTGTTACTTTGGGGAACAACTCTATTGTACTTGGGGTGGACAGAGTACAACACATTGACAGTTAGAGAACCTTAGCTTTGTACAGCCCTTGCAATTCCCTTTCTTCGTCTTATCTCTAGAAATACCGCTCTGGAAGTAGAGAAGAGAGGTTATCTCAGTTAACGGGTAAAGAGACTGACTCATAGAAAAGTGAAGTGACTTCCTCATGGCCACACATATGGTTAGTTGAGGGCAAAGCTTCTGTCTGTTCCAGATTCAGTCAAACTTCATTTCTTTGTTCCAACACTCCTTGACTCTTTCCAGCTACATTCTAAAAGAGCTCATGGCTCACGTTATCTATCCAGCCATCAATCCCTCCATCATGTACCATACATTTTATTATTCATTCAGTCTGTCATTCAACAAATATTTATTGAGCATTATCATATTCAGATATTATTGTAGATTCTGGCAATACAACTGGAAACAACGGACATTCCTCCCCTCATAGAGCTTACATTATAGAGAGGGCACAGCAATAAATAATTAATAAAGTGAGTAAGATATAGGATGTCAGAGGGTGATGAAGTCACCAAGAATAACTGGGAGTGCCAGAGTGAGGACAGGGCTGAATGGTAAATGGTTGCCTTCAGGATGAGCCTATGTTAGAGCAAAGACCTCGGTGGGTCTTTGGGAGGTGAGCAGTCAAGCCCTGCAGGGAGGTGATGTAGGGGTACCAATCCCCCGAGGTGGCTGCATGCCTGGTGTGTTCATGGAGCAGCAAGGAGAGCTGTGAGGCTGAAGCAGAACAAGTTGGGAGAGGCACAGAAGACCAAGAGCTGGTGGGGAACAGGATTTATAGGGCCAGGCTAAAGGCCACTGGAAGGACTGCAGCTTTCTTGGAAGAGGGAAAGCCACAAAAAAGTTTGTGCAGAGGAGTGACATGATCTGGCCAAAATTTGAAAAGGATCACCCTACCTGTGTCACCAGGAGTAGACCATGTGGAGACCAAGGAGGAAGCAGGGGAACCAGCGAGGAGGTCATGCGACAGTGTGGGAGAAAGGGACCATGGAGGTGGTGGCAGTAGAGATAACGAGACCCACTCCGAGTCAAATCTATGTTGAAGGTGCAAGCAACAAGATTTGCTGATGGATTGACTTTTTGTATGACTTTATGAGCTAAGTGTCAGAGTTACAATAGGGAGTGAAATCAGATTCCTTGATGGAGCTTTAGCCAAATGAGAAGGCAAATAGTAATCAGATAGTTAAACAAATGCGTAGTTTATTTAAATTCTTTAAAATAAAGATGTAAGTCTTAAGGTTGGGGTAGATCTGCCTTAGTCAAAAGTGGGGCAGAATCAGGGCTGGAACACAGGGACTGTGGCAGAGGAATGAAACTGGAGAGATTAGCATGGTGGACCAAAGGGACCAAGACTAAATAATGTTGCAACTTTTCATTTTTAACCTAAACACAATGGGAAAATGATGGAGGAATTTGATTTAAGGAAGCCATGAGGGTATGGAGGGGATGCGTGTGTAAGAAGTGCTGTCATGTTTGTGTCAAAAATGTGTAAAAGATCAGTCTGGCTTCCGTGGGCAAAAGTAACACAAATAAGAATATGGATTGGCTGGGCATGGTGGCTCATGCCTGTAATCCCAGCACTCTGGGAGGCTGAGGTGGAGGGATCACTTGAGGTCAGGAGATCAAGACCACCCTGGCCAATATGGTGAAACCCATCTCTACTAAAAATACAAAAATTAGCTGAGTGTGGTGGCGGGCGCCTGTAATCCCAGCTTCTTGGGAGGCTGAGGCAGGAGAACTGCTTGAACCCGGGAGGCAGAGGTTGCAGTGAGCCAAGATGGTGCCATTGCACTCCAGCCTGAGCGTCCACAGCAAGACTTCATCTCAAAAAAAAAAAGTGTGGATCTTTGTGATGTAGCAATGAGAATGTAGGAATTTAGGTGAGATCTCAAGTATCCAATATATCCAGAAGATTAACATTTTATTGTTACTTTCCTAGTGAAAGGGGAAAATAGCTGTCTTTAAAAATAAAGATAAATTGGAACCTGGTATCTTTGTTTTTATTTTTAAATTGAAATTCTATGTGCAAAATTAAAGATACACATCAAGATGATATCCAAATCCTCTAACTTTAATCATATATTGATAACCTGATAGGTAAATGTGACATAAGAATAATAGCACCTAATTGTGAGGTCATTGTGTACTTTATTCTTTAAGGAGCCATAAACATTCTTTAAAGAGCCAATTAAAATACAACAAACTTTAAAGCAACAAAATGCCCACAGAAATAGAGGTCTGGGATTGAGATGGAAATTTGCTGCTGGATGTCTGAGAAAAGATTAGAGAATTATAAAAGAAATTAACAAACAAGTCCAATCTTATTTAAACCAATCTATTCTTATACTCCTAGTAGGCAAAGTGAAAGTGAATCAGTATTTCTTTTTCTCAAAAATGTGATGAGGCTAGGCATGGTGGCTTGTGTCTGTAATCTCAACACTTTGGGAGGACAAGGTGGAAGAATCACTTGAGGCCAGGAGTTTGAGAACCTGCCTGAACAGCATAGTGAGATTCCATCTCTATAAAAAACAAATATAAAAATTCAGCTAGCGTGGTGGTGTGTGCCTGGGAGGCTGAGGTGGGAGAATCACTTAAGCCCAAAAGTCCAAGTTTGCAGTGAGCTATGATCGTTTCACTGCACTTCAGCCTGGGCGACAGAATGAGATCTTGTCTCTAAAAAAGAAAAAAAAAAAGTGTTTCTTTCCTTATCTTCTGCTATTTTAAATTACAAAGAAGTGGCTACTTCAAAAATGAAGGTCACAAAAAACTTTTAAAGGTCATCTTTAGGTGGGTGATCAGGCTTGTGATGGGCAATTACATACACTGGTCATGGCAGGGTGTGCCCCTCGGGAGGACAATTTGGCATTCCAAATTTTGAGGATTAACCAAGTTCATAATGTTTTATTCAATGATTTTTCTTGAATGAATTTTCCCTTAATAAAAACACAAACACATTAAGATGAAATGCATGCATAGGGATGTTGACTTTAGAATTTTGGGGGGGCAACATTTGGAAATAGCCAAATGTTCAATAATGTATTGCTCATGAATTGTGGCATTTTCTTATACGGAAGAGATTAAGGCCATTAAAAATAACATTTTGGGAACTAAGAATGAAAAATTAGCATAATCCTGTTTTGATAACACTAAAATGTGAATAGCACTCCTCTGTGAGTGGTGGTAGGCTGTCTTTCTTTTCCATTTTTTTTTTTTTAATAAAGTATTAATTCTAAAATAGGCTTCCAAAAGCAAACCAGCAAAAGCTAGGACTATAACAAAGTTATTCAAATATTCTAATATAATCTTCAGTGTCTTTCTGATGGTTTTCATTGTAGAAATAACTCTAAACATCTGGATGGGTCACCAAAAGGCATTGTGGCCTCTTAGTTCTACTTTGAAATTAAAGGCCGTTTTTAGAGAAGAAGAATCTCTTAAGTTGATCCCTCACCCCACCTCCTGCCTTGTCTAGGATCTTCAGCATTAGAAAGATTGCTGGCTAGTTAACATAATGCCCAGGCCCTGGGCAGCTGCTCTGTGGGACCAGCTGGTCCTCAAAGACACTCACCTGGCCTGTCCATGGTGAGCCACATCCTTTGGATTCATCTGGTCCAGCAGGTGCTGCCTTCTCACCACTTCTTTCTTCCTACAGCGCCCCTGAAGAAGGTTGTTTCTGAGGGTCCTGAAGAGAAGCTTCGTATTCTGCATTGCTGACATCTGCTGAAAGGGCCAACATTTTTAAAAAGTATCAGATCAGTCTATGTGTGGTCTTCTTTCCTTACCTGCGTGTGGACAGACCACCATGAAAGTTTTTGGAATTATTTCTCTTAAGTCCTCAGAAAAATAATCTTACTGCTTTCTTATCCCTGAATTTCTTCACATTATCATACACATAGCATAATTCTTCAAATTAAATACCCCACACTCCCTCAATAAGTCCTCTTCCTTAGAGTAAACCTAGTTATTTGACATTCTACACCTAGAGGAGGGCATCAAAGAGGACCAAGCCTGTGGTTGCTCACATCTGGGGTTGTGGATGCCTTTGAGAATTGGAAGATAACTCATGGCTTTATCTCCAGTGAAATACTCAGACATTCCATTCTGTATACAATTTCAGTGGATTCACAGGCCACCTGAAATCTATTCATCCACCCCAAGTTAAGAACCTCTACCAAAAGGAGGCAAAGAAGGAATGAGATGTTTGATTTTAAGGGCTTCAGCACTTGAAATGTAAAGAATAATAACAAAATGGCCACATGGTGTCACTCTAATATCAACAAATCCAAGATTTAGAACCAGGAAAGTGGATCCTAGGCCTGAGAATCTGAGGACCTGGGTCCACACGGTTTAGTAAGGCAATGCCCACTGGAAATTATTTGGCAAGATTCAGGCACTTGACCTTTGTGCGCCATTCATGTAAAGGAGAGAAGGAGGGAAACTATCCTTGGTGAAGGTAATTAATCAACATCCTTTGCTATTGTGGTATTGGAGATGGTTGTCATCTGTGTGAAGAAACTTACTCATGGAATTTAGTAATGAAAAGAAAATGTTCTTTCTGGGAACAATTAGAATGTCTTTTCTTAAAATGTACTATGCTATTTCTCTTCTTACAAAGAACTGAATCCACTTGCTGGGAATTTATAATTTTAAAAAATTTGAAAGGCAGCTGTGAAGGTTTAGTTGTATACTTTTTCAGTCAGCATTGCGATAATTATCTTTCTTTTTTCCTAAAGAAGAAATATTTGAAATTTAGGGTTCAGGAAAAGACATGTTAAAAAAGAAAAATTCTCCAAAAATATGCTAGTAACTAGAAGTCTTGTTGCATCATTTTTGCCAAATCAGAGCCCTTTTCTTTTCCATCTGTATCCATTTCCAATTCTCTTCTAACTCTTCACTGACATATTCTAGTCCAGAGTATCTAATCAATTACTTCAGACTCAACTCTGGCCTTTTCTTGTGCCTAAAGCCTTTCATTGAGACAACGTGAAGAAAGCATACTTATATTGAGAGAGATTCAAGGTGCAGTTTGCCACTTGCTTAGTCTTAAATACTGTAACATATGACAGGAGCAGAATCTGTGGTTTCACTGGAGGGCAAGTTTTTTTCACGGCTATTGCTTATACTGAATTGATTAATGAATAGTTTGGTATGCAACATTAAATGTTACCTGTACGCAGTACTCAATGACAGGATGAGACTTCTGATAGGACTTGCTGTGGAGACTAGATAAGAAACACATCTGGCAGATGTCAAAGTTAAGACACTTCAGACAGCGGTACCTGCCAATCAAAATAGAAGCACAGCTTTCGTCACTAGCAGATGAGCAAAAGAAAGAATATCCAGGTAGAGAATGAGCACCCCAAAACATATAGAAGATGTCTGAGCTACCAAATCAGTGTAAAGTTTCTCCCAAATTATAGGATTATTAAATGACTCTAATGCATTTGTTTACTCAAATCTTCATTTATTAATATTTCATATGGCATTATATTCATGCCATATATGCTATGGTATAGAAGTCTGATTTATTTCCCAAAATACTAAGTGCTCTCTATATGCAGGGTGCCGTGTGCTATCACCTTTGGATAAACCCTTACATCTGCAGCGATGTCATGTGCAGCTGCACAATGCACTCAAATACTTTGAATTCGATAGCTAATTTTAAAAGTAGATTTCAATAACATCAACTTTTGGCTTCTCTTAAACTTTTAAACAATATGATAATATTGGGCCTGCATTCCTGTATGGTATTAGGGAAAATTAAGCCATAGATAACAAATTTAAAAATAAGCATTTGTCGTTTTATAGAAGTCTGTATGTAGGAAAGATATAAAGTGGAGGAGGGGCGTTCCTCACCACACCCAAGTTTCTTGACTCAACATTGGAGGTTTTTTTCTTTATGAAAAATGACAACCTTAAATCCCTTTGCAGTCAGGAGAGGAGAGATTCTTGGGACACTCTGGTTAGGAGGGGTGTCCCATAATACTCAGGAAACTGTTGTGATGTTAGGGGAGACCTAGTGAGACCTAGCAATCATCAGTAACTTTTAAGTATATTTGAGTGGGACCATGTTGTTTGTCTACAAAATAACAGGGAGCTATACATTTTTTCCCGATACTTAAATTCTCTTCTCTAACTGTAGTGTGTATACTATAAGGCTCCATCTTCGTATGGTGACAGCTGGTGAGAACCAGGCGGCAGCTGCGCCTTTTAGACTGAGCTAGCCATAGTCCCTACCTGTCCTATGTCCTTCATGTATACCACTTCCCTTGCCTTTTAAGCATCTGGGTTTTCAACCCCTGTCTTAAAGTTTACAAAAAATAAATATGACAAGATTCCAGTGCTCTTAAATTTCATATCTTGCTGCAAAACTTTGACATGGAAGGTTGAGGTAATAACTTGCAGAATTAGGCACTGTGTGATTAAGTGCTGAATGAGAGGCGTGGAGAAGCAGGGCTATAGCAGGGAAGCAGAGGGAGAGCCCTATGGGCTGGTGTGGACTGGAAAGTTCTCATGCAAGAAGTGAGACTCATGCTATGCATGGAAGGTGAGCTGGAGATTAAAGCAAAGGAAATCCCAAGTAGAAAGAATCGGAAGAATAAGATAACGAAGGTTGAGATGAATAAGAAGGGTTAAGAGGACACCAGATCTATCGGACCTGCTAATTGCCCTGAAGAACAGCAGGAAAAAAACTTGAAAATTTTCTGAGGCCAAATGGCAGAAGGTCTGATGGTCTGATCAAAGTCATTTAGAGGCAGAGCAAGAGAATGTAAATGCCTCCAGATCAGCCCTCGGCTACCCTTGCTCACTGCTGTACTTCCAACCCAGGCTCCCATGGCAGGCTATTAATACATAGAGTGGGATGGCTATAACAGCGGCTAGCATTTTTGTGCCTGTTCTATGTGTAGGCGGTGTACAGGTGTTGATGCAGTTAATCCCCGTGGAAATTCATTCAGGTATTCTTACAATTACCCTCATTTTGCAGATGAGGAAACTGAATCAAAGAGAGTTTAAGTAACTTGGACAAAGTTATACAACTACTTAGTAAGTAGTAGAAGATTTTGAGTCCCAGGTTACCATCTGAATTGATGGCCTGCCATCTTAACCACTAGAATACATCACCACTCCTCAAGGCAGAGGCTTGAGTTTGAATTCACATGCCACCATCACTACTTATAGTAGTACTAATAGTTGAAATGGAAACTTAAGCTCACTTAAGTTTAGGAGAATGCCTGGTACACAGTAGGTTTTTCAATGAACATTAGTTGAATGAAGTTGGATAAATGACTTAGTTTCTTCAATGAAGGAAAAATGGAGCTAGTAAACCCTATCCTCTTGGCCTTGTAAAATTTTAGAACATTTAAAAAATTGTTCAACATACATAAATGGGAAGACATTCACTTTTTCAATGAAATGTACAACATAGTAAACAATATTTTTAAGGAATATTTGATGAGCCATCCTTGCTGGCTGCCTTATCAAGCATTAACTAGATCCCAAAACACAAGTTTTAACTAGATGGCTGTGATTGACTTGTCTAGGATAATATGCTGCTCTATCCTTAAATTTGTTCATCAGTGCTCTGAAACTACCTCCAAGTATATGAGAATGGTTATTGTGTGGGTAATGAGATTGGTGTTTTTACCAATATAGAACCCAGGATTTCCCCCAATTTCATTTCAACCTTCCATGGCTATCACAGAGCAAAAATGTGACATGTCCTTCTACAAATTCAATCTTGGATTAGGGCTACTCTGTGGTCTTTGCACCTTCTCCTTCTTTAGAAGGCCAAATCTTTGTCCTCTTTCTGTTACGTGCAGATCTGCAAATGCTTCTGCTCTAACATGGCTTTCTTCATCTCTCAAAAAACCAAAGTTACTGGTTGAGTTTTTTGAGATCCCAAAAGACAAGCTTAAAGTTAGGTTTATTATATATCCAGGCGATTTTTAATAGAATCAGAAGTTTAGAGCTAAAGAAGTCTCAGACATCATTTCATCTAGCCTGCTGTATTTTACAACACACACACACGCGCGCGCACACACACACACACACACACAAAAACCTGAGGTCCAGAGAGGTTAAAAGCCTTGCCCAAGTCTCCCAGCTGTTTGTATATTGACACCTGTTTATTGCCTCGGGTGTCTAGGAGGAACTGTGTTTTACATGGCGGCATTTCAAAGAAGTCCTGTTCTCATTCTCAACAAATAGTTAAAGTATGGCATTTCTTGCCCTCTGCCTTTGCCGTTTTTACAGGTGACTTAAGTAAGTCACTCAAACTCTTTGAGACTCAATTTTTGTCATCTATAGAATAGAAACAGTATCTACTTTATGTTACATATAATAATTTTGAAAAAATATCTCTATGTAAAAGCTGTGTTTTATATAATTGCAAAGTTAATCCTGTACCTGATCCAGGGCAGGACTTGTAATTACTCCTTAACTAATACTTGCTTGTTGGTTAAATGATTATAATGTACTCATAACATGGTAAATCATATTCCAATTTCCCCATTGTCCAGTATAAATAATTTATTTTTCATTGTAGTGTGAAGATTTCCTTGTTCCTCCTTGCTTGGTTTCCAACAGTCCTGTCCTTTTATATGTTTTATTGTTTAAAGTTCAGTTACTCGGTAGAATTTTCATGACTGAAGTTTCACTATGTCCTGCAAATTCTCTGCAAACCCAATTCATTTTCTTGGCAAAATTAAAATGAGATCTCCGGTTTCTTGGTGTACTAAACAGACCTATTTTATCTCCATGGGGAGCATATTTCAATTCAAGCTTAGCTAGGGTTAGGAAGCATGGGAAAGGAAGAAGAACAAAGTGAGCAGGAGCTGAGGCCTGAGGCCTCTTGTCCCCTTCTCCTTCTGGGCACCCCCAGCTTTGCCTTGTTTTCAGCTGCCTGAGGTTCCAGAGCTTTAGTACTTCCACACCCCCAGCCCCTGTTCACTCATTGTGAATAATGGCATCTTCCATACCTGGCCTACACCTGGTGGTTTATTTCTCTTCTCCCAAGCTATTAATGATAACTCTAATTTTACTTCCCTATGGTTTTATTTACGGGACACTGATAATACTCTTTCTCTAGGATGGGATTTGACTGTTATCCTCAAAGCTATGGAAATATTTGAATCTCACCCCCAAATCTAGCTCTCAAATCTGTCCTTTGCTCCAGGTAGAGAGAAGATCCGGGCTGAGTTGCTCTCATTCATGCTAATCATCCCTGTGAGTCTGAGACTCGTTTGCAGTTGCATGCACAGGGAGGCAGTAGAGCATCATGGCTGCAAAGCAGGGACTCTGGATTTAGGCCACCAGCCTCTTCTGCTTGCTGATCATGTAAGCTATTTAACTTCTCTGCAAATTGGGGAGAATAATACAACCCCTTGTATAGGCTTACAATATATTTTAAATAAAATGACCCATGTGAACTGCTCAGCTTGGCATTTGTCTAACACCTAACAAAATTAGCATTGTTAGGATGATGATGATGATGGATGAATGGTTCCAAAATACTTAAAAGCTGTTTTTGGAACAAAAGACAGGCCAGATGCATTGGCCCACACTTGTAATCCAATGCTTTGGGAGGCTGAAGCAGGAGGATCAGTTAAGATCAGGAGCTGGAGATCAGCCTGAGCAACACAATAAGATCTCATCTCTACAAAAAAATAGAAAATTAGCTGGGCATGGTGGCATGCACCTGTACTCCCAGCTACCCAGGAGGCTGAAGTGGGAGGATGTCTTGAGCTTAGGAGTTCCAAGCTGCAGTGAGCAATGATAGTGCCACTGCCCTCTAACCTGAGTGACAGATAGAGACCTTGCCCCCTCCCCTCAAAAAAAGGCAAAATTTATTCCCCTTAGAGGAATAAAATGTCTATTAATCACAGTATGCATCAGTGGAAGAATTTAATATTTCGACCATTATAGAAGATAAAAGACAACTTATTATTAACCAGGATGCCTCTTGCCAAGAAATCATTAAGCCAAAAAAGTCAACTGAATTCCAGATGTGTGAAGAGGACCCCAAAAAGAATCTGAAGGCATGCAGCGCCAACTGTAGACCCATCTGGAGAATGGTAATCCGAGCAATGCTGCTGATGACTGTACCTGAGTCCCTTGATCGGGAAAGTCCTGCAGACCATGCACCGAACAGGGTGAGTGACCCTGTCAGCAGCTGATAACCGGTGGCAGGTCGGGAGCCACAGGAGGATGGGAGGCTCAGATTGCACCCAAGACAGGAATTTCTCTTCTTTGATTGCTGGGCTCAACACCTGAAAAACAATGACACCCTAAGATGTGTTTTTAGGCATGACTTGGTATTCTCATTTTCTTTTCTGACTCTAATTCTGTCAGCTCTGCTGAAGAGGTTTATCATATGAAAAGCTGGAGGTGAGACTACCTCCTAAATTCAGTTATCTGGGATGCTTTGTGGAGGAATAATAGGTCTGTAATTTAAATCAATCTGCAAACTATTCCAATTCACCGTGTCTGTCCCCAACTCCAGGGAGATTTGCAAGGCACTCACCCCTTGGAAACAGCTGCGGGTGGCACTTTCCACAGAGCACAGAGCACGACTCTCTCCCACGACAGTTGGGATCTGCAAGAGACAACCTCATCTCAGTTGTTACAAAGTGGAGAAATATGCGGCCTCTGGGAGCAGCAGGCCCAAGAGCTGGTGCCCACAGCCATGCAGTCACAAGAGTCTGGCATCTGAGACCAGGTGAACTGTCTCAATCCAAGAAAACAAAAGCAATGTGTGGGTTTTGTACAATGTTTGCATTAAGACAATGAATAAGCAAGGGGGAAGAAGAGGAGAGAAGAGGGTAAAGGAAGGAAGTCTGCCAATGGGGTGATAAACTGCTTCCTTCTGTTTTACCTCTTGTGATACCAAATTATTTTAACCTTTATTTAAGCCTTTGTTCACCTGTGAAATGCATATCATAATAATACTGTCTTAAAGTTTAGAGTTTTAAAGTATACATACTTCTTTATTTTACTTTAAGTTCTGGGATACACGTGCAGAATGTGCAGGTTTGTTACATAGGCATACATGTGCCATGGTGGTTTGCTGCACCTATCAACCTGTCACCTAGGTTTTAAGCCCTGCATGCATTCGGTACTTGTCCTAATGCCCTCCCTTCTCTTGCCCCCAATCCCCCAACAGGCCCCAGTGTGTGATGTTCCCCTCCCTGTGTCCATGTGTTCTCATTGTTCAGCTCCCACTTATGAGTGAGAACCTGTGGTGTTTGGTTTTCTGTTCCTGTGTTAGTTTGCTGAGAATGATGGCTTTCAGCTTCATCCATGTCCCTGCAAAGGACATGAACTCATTCTTTTTTACAGCTGCATAGTATTCCATGGTATATATGTGCCACATTTTCTTTATTCAGCCTATCACTGATGGGCATTTGGGTTGGTTCCAAGTCTTTGCTATTGTATATATACATATTTCTTAAGACTAGTCAAGTTCAGTAGTGAGAAGTGGGAAAGAGTAGATCCAGGAGTTTAATCTGTAACTGACTGTAAACCATTCTATTGAGATAACTCACTACCTTTGGATAAGCCTAGAGTAGCTTTGAGAAAAACCTTTCTAAACACTTTCATATCATATCATTTTAAGAAATGCCCATCTCTGAGGTAGGGTGGTAATCACTACCCTTCTTTAAAGCAAGGCATGAAAGGAAAGGAAATCAGTCTGTCAAAGAGACAGCTGCACTCCCATGTTCACTGCAGCACTCTTCATAACAGCCCTGTTTCTGGAATGATCTAAGTGTTCATTGACAGATGAATGGAATAAAAAAATGTGGCATGTAATATACAATGGAATAATACTCAGCCTTAGGAAAGAAACGAATCCTGTCATTTGCAACATCATGAACAAACCCAGAGGACAATATGCTAAATGAAATAAGCCAGGCACAGAAAGACAAATACTGCATGATCACACTTACACGTGGAATCTAAAAACACTGAATTCATAGAAACAGAGAGAAGAATAGTGGATGCCAGGGGCTGAGGATAAAGATAAAGGAGAAAATGTTGATTAAAGGGTAGAAACTTTGATAAGATAAATAAATTCAGACTGGGCGCAATGGCTCATGCCTGTAATCCCAGCACTTTGGGAGGCCAAGGCGGGTGGATCACAAGGTCAAGAGATCAAGACCATCCTGGCCAACATCGTGAAACCCCGTCTCTGCTAAAAATACAAAAATTAGCTGGGCATGGTGGCATGTGCCTGTAGTCCCAGCTACTTGGGAGGCTGAGGCAGGAGAATCACTTGAACCCAGGAGGCGGAGGTTGCAGTGAGCCGAGATTACACCACTGCACTCCAGCCTGGCTGTAGAGCCAGGCTCCATCTCAAAAAAAAAAAAAAAAAGATGAATAAATTCTGGGGATGTAATTACAGCATGGCAACTAGGAATAGTACTGGTGAAACCCCATCTCTACTAAATATACAAAAACTAGCCAGGCGTGGTGCCAGGTGCCTGTAATCCCAGGTACTCAGGAGGCCGAGGCAGGAGAACTGCTTGAACCTGGGAGGTGGAGGTTGCAGTGAGCCAAGTTTGTGCAACTTCACTCCAACCTAGGTGACAAGAGCAAAACTCCATCTCAAAAAAAAAAATTTCTTTTTCACATTTTCCAGTATTGTTTACTTGAAAATAGATACAAGAGCAGATTTGAAGTGTCCTCAAACCTCCCATCCCACAAGATGGTAATGATGGTGGTGACAGATGGATTAATTCATTTGACTGTGGTAGTCATTACATAGTGTATATGTATCTCAAAACATCAAGTTGTATACCTTGAATACACACAGTTCCTGATTATCAATTAAATATTTTTCAAAAATAAGTAAAGCAAGGAGTAATTGAGATTTGATATTTTGCTCCAGGTCAAAAAAGCAATTTAGCAGCAGAATTGGGGTCTCACTCCAGGACTCTTACTCTTTCTTGAGGAGTTTTCATAAAGCTTTGTCACAGCGAACCTTACATATATTCCAACGGCTCAATCTGTGCCACCGCACTCAGTGGTTTCCACCTTTCTACTACAGTCACCATAAGGCGTTCAATTAAGGCTCTAAGAACCTTTTGTGACTGCCAAGATGGCCAGGGACTTGGCTCTGACACCATCTATATGCACAGATACATGTACCTGTCACCTCCATTTATTCCCATTTGGTCACGAGTCCTAATTTCACATCTGATGTCTTCTACAGCACAGGCTGTCAGCAGGCATTGCCTGTAAGCTCAGAAGTAATCTCAGAGACCCTCCTGCTGAGTCCATCAACTCGAATAAATGTTCTTCTAATCAGGAAAGTGGCACTCAGAACCTCTTTGCTGACAATTAGCCAGGCAGAAGTCAACAAACATTTGCGTAATAGTGACAAGATGGCTTGTACTTTAAATTGATAATCCTGTCACCAGTCAAATGTAAGTAACTACTTCCTATGTTATATAGCCTTTGTCTGAAAACATAACTCATTACCCATCGTTTGGCTGTGAGTGCTGATGAATTAACTGAACCACTTATTTAGACTGTGTTGCTGATTCAACATTCACCCTCCTCTGATGTCCTTGAGCCCTGGGAAAGGAGTTTTACTTCATTTGTAAAATAAGATGGGTGGATAATGTAGAATGACTCTCACCAGCTCTGTGATTCTAACCTAGTACAAAGAAAATTCACTTCTGTAGTGGGTTTCAACCTACGTTTTTGCCTGTAAGGGTGTGTATAAAAATTTTGCAGATGAATGGCCCAAGTGACTAATTTCTTGCAGGTGTTCTAGGAAGCGTTAAACATGGCTAGATGGCATACCGCACAGGCAGATACCACTTGAAATGATAATTACGATGCTTAGGGGAGGATTTGAATCATGTGGTGAGGCCTGGAATTTTCTCTGGGAATCCATTTCTGAGTTCATAATAGCAGTCAATGGGATGATAATTCCTGTGCAAACCTCTGCCTTCCTAAGACCTTCTCAGGAGCACACTAATACCTGGGCTGCGGGTAGGGGCAGAATGCTCCCTGTCCTAGAGATTTTTATTATCTTTCTCCTTATCCCTCCCCACTCCCATCATGACTATCCTCAGTTCAGAATCCTTGGTCCAGACCCAGGAGAAAAATGACAGAAAGTTCCTAGGTCTTTACAGTACAAAACATCTACTTGGGGATTTTGTAGGAGCTGGAAGAATGGAGACATCCTTCAAAATGAGGGTAAGGGTACAATAGGACAACAGCACCTACATGCAAGACAATCCAGAGCCTATTTAATCCATTTGCAGAAGTTCTTGCTTTGTGACATCAATTCATGTCATTTTAACGTTAAAAAAAACTTTAAGGAGGTTAAATTCCCTTGCCTAGTAAGAATAAAAGCAAAATCAAATTAACGTGTTCTTAAAGCAGAGGAAATGATTTGAATACTCAGCATGGCACTCCATCTATGAATTCTTTAAATATTTTTTGGAGGTCTTTTAGTATCAGGCACTGTTCAAGGCACTGGACACATAAAGATGAAATAGTCCAGTGGGGAAGCATCTGCTGCAATTTGACAAGTGCTGCACCAAAGTTATGCATAGGAAGCCAAAGAAGCTTTGAGCAAGGAGGTGACAAATGACTGAGTAATACTGAAAGATGAGTAGTGTTTGTCGAGTGAAAGGATAGGCAACGGCCTTGTAGATAGATGGAAATGCAGAAGTCAGGCATGGAAAACTCGGTGCATGTCAGGCACGGTATTTTAATATGTAGGAGTGAAAAAGGTATAAGGAGTGTAAGGAAAAATTATGCACTTTGGAATAAGCAAAAGAGACCTCTGGATATGTTTTCAGTGGTAATTATCTGTACCTATAGAGAAATACATCAGTCTTTGCTAGGCTATTTTACAACTCCATAGAGAGTAGGGTTAACAGGTAGCAAACTTACAGCAATGCAAATAATTCTTATCTATAGGTGCCATTAACTTTAGCTTCATGAGTGTGAGTATAGCTCATAACCTTCTACTACAACCTGATGAGCATAAGTTAAGTTATACTCAAGTAACAGCAGTGGCTATGGAGGAGGGAGCTTGCATGGAGATCGATATAAAGGTAAAATTGACACTGGAGACATCAGATTCTTTAATAATAAATGTGGCTAATTAACTGAAACAAAAGTACAGTTCTTAAGTATTAGAGATTTACCTGCTGTAGATCTGCTAGTAGTTTTCTCAAAACCCTTCGAGTCATGCGTGTCCCAGAATCATAACCTCCCCTGCTATTTTCTGCATAGAGCTGAAAAAGAGCTAGACATGTAGAAGGAAAAATCTTTAAATTGAATACTTCGAATGTATCTTTGAAGACTACTTGCTTTGAAGTAACAGTCTCTTTGTGGCTACGAAGGGAAAGAGAAGGGAAAGTTACACTCTTGATTATTGGCTCGCTATTTTGAAGGCCTTCCAAACTATGTTTTTTATAATAACCATAATTTGATAACTAATGAAAATCCATTCACATTTCAACCCCTTGATCATTTAGTGCATCTATGATGAAGATCATGAGGTTAGTAAAAGGAAATGTGAGGATCCTCCCAGTCTTCAAACCCATAATAATTACGGGTGTCTGGATAATCCCTAAACAAATAAATATCAAGAACAACCAAGAAACAATTAGGAAGTGTAAATTTTTAAAAAATTCCAGGGCCGGGCACGGTGGCTCAAGCCTGTAATCCCAGCACTTTGGGAGGCCGAGGCGGGTGGATCACGAGGTCAAGAGATCGAGACCATCCTGGTCAACATGGTGAAACCCCGTCTCTACTAAAAATACAAAAAATGAGCTGGGCATGGTGGTGCGTGCCTGTAATCCCAGCTACTCAGGAGGCTGAGGCAGGAGAATTGCCTGAAGCCAGGAGGCGGAGGTTGCGGTGAGCCGGAAACACCCCAATACAAACCAAAAAGGAAAAAAAAAAAAAAACCCCGAAAAAAAAAAAAAAAAAAAAAAAAAAAAAAATTCCAAATTCTTCAAATCTTAAATATTTTTCTTCAATAAACACACGAGTCATGCTGAGTACATGCTGAAGAAGAAGGCCTTGTGACAGGGATATAGGATAACAGGTTGGGGATTTGGGGCTCACTGCACTTTAGGACATGCATAGTCCTCTGCGTGTTACCTCGGTATTTTGTAAGAGGGCTGTCTCCTGAGAGGGTTATCAGGGCAGCGGCCACAGGCATAAGCTGGAGAAAACCTGTTTCTGTGCTGCACAGTGACAAAATACAGAGACAAGAATGAAAAGGTCAGCGTTACCTTTGGTGTCATGGATTATCTAAACCATAACTATTAATAGGCATTGCTGATATGGTGTTATAAGTCGTAGCTTTTCATGGCCTCTTATCCTACACCTAGAATTTAGCAGAACAGAGCACTGAATTAACTTATTTCACCAGTCATTTATTTGTTCATGCAGTCCTTCCAAAATTTCTATTCGATGCCTCCTCTGTGCTAAGCCCTGTACCAGGCACCAGGGATGTAAGGGTATACCCTGTCTTCATGGAGCAGGTAGCATCACTTCCTCAGGCCTCAGTTGCCTAGAAACCAAGCAACAGAGACAAGGGAGGACCAAAAGGCAGCAAAGGAGCAAATATTTATGCAAAAGAAAAATCTAGTTCACAGGCTCTCAGAGCCTAATCATCCTTGCCCACTTGCTGTCCAGTTTACAAACCTACTAAACAATTTATTGAAGGCAGGAAGATTGTTGGAGACAGGCACAGATAATAGAAATGACAATCAGGTTGGACGTGGTAGCTCATGCCTGAAATCTCAGCACTTTGGGAAGCTGAGGAGGGCAGATCACTTGAGGTCAAGAGATCGAGACCATCCTGGCCAACATAGTGAAACCCCTGTCTCTAATAAAAACACAAAAATTCACAGGTCTGGTTGCATGCATGTGCCTATAATCCCAGCTACTCGGGGGGCTGAGGCAGGAGAATTGCTTGAACCCAGGAGGCGGAGGTTGCAGTGAGTCGAAATCACAGCCACTGCACTCCAGCCTGGCAGCAGAGCAAGATAACGTCTCAAAAAAAAAAACAACAAAAAAAAAAAAAAAAAAAAAAAAAAAAAAAAAAAAAAAAGAAAAGAAAGAAAAAGAAAAGAAATGACAGTCAAAAGCTTAATGTTTAAGGAAGCTGAAATGAAAAAATAACTTGAGAATGGGTTTAAATATTGTTTGGGCAGTTAAAAAAAATTAAAAAGAAAACTGGAAAAGAAAATAACCACAAGGAATTTGCCCAGTGGTTAAAATGGTGCTTGCCTCTGGGAGGCAGGCTGATGGGTAATAATGTATTTCTTTTTTTTTACTTTTTTCCTCTACTTTTCCAAATGTTTTGAGTTCACTATGATTTTTGAAAAGTTTATTCTAAAGGAAGAAGTCTACTGAGTTGAGGAGAGGTAAGGTCAACCAAATTGAGGAGGGGGCAGAGGAGTTGAAACCTTACAGTTTAAAAAACACACACACCCCTACCACATACCAGCAGAACTATTGGCTTGAGAGCATATGCAATTGGTCCTTTGACATAGTCTAAACTGGTTTATAGGTTACCCATCCATGCACAGAATTTTCAACCTTATTCTAGCTAAAAAAAAGGAAAGAAAGAAAGAAAAAAAAAATTGATAGTCATTTACAAAGAAATGAGCAAAGAAGCTAGCATTAACAAGAGAAGTGTCATTTTTCACCTATATATATAGAATTATAAACACCCTAGCAAGAGGTTCGTATGCTTCTCTAGAGTAGGAATGAATTTGTATAAAGGAAAGAATGATGTGGCATTTCCCTCCTCTTTTTGCTATCCGTGGGTCATTTATATTCATAAAACTAAATAGGCATTTACTTCTGTGTTCCACTCCTGAGGAATAAATTTGTGAGAAATGAACAAAGGCTTCTTATATACCAAACCTCAAGCAAATGTTAGACAGCACCAAATGGTAAATGACCACTGGCCACTAACATTGCCTTTGAGGTCACATCGTGACGTCCACACACTCACCTGTTGTACATTGTCGTGAGAAGGCTCAGAGTGAGTTCCGAAGCTCTGGGATGTACCTGTCCGGGATTTTCCTCCCTGGCTTTCTGAAACAGCTCTTGGAGTGCCTGTGAAAGCTGCTGCACAGAGAGGGAACACTTGCAAGCTTCCCAGAAACTTGGACACAGTAGGACCTGCTGAATCAGGGAGCTGTCAATCAGGTCCACTGTAGGAAGCAAATGAAGAATTGAGCCTTATTTTCTGATGGGAACAAAAGGCTTCAAATGAAGCAAATGTCATTTAGTGTTTTATAATTAAGACTGCCTTTTTATAGTAGTTATTTTCTTTTACAGGGAATGAAATATGACCATTATTTGGACATGTATCCCTTGTGTATAATTCAGGCGTTGCTATTCTAGCGATTCATTTGATTTTGGAAAAGTGCATCTGTTAGTAAAGCATAGTTATAACATTATTGCCAGTACAGTTTCTAGGGTGTTGTTTTATAGAAAGAAGTTAAAAAAGGAAGTGAGAAACGAAAAATAAGCTTTCCAAGAAAGTTATGACACTGTGGTGAAAAGTTGGGGGAAACATTTTTATACTCTTCATTAAGTGGATTGAATAAATTTACCTTTCATGTTCAAATATAGTTTTTCTTGTCTGCAGCCCAGCTTCAGAGGCAATATGGTGTGTTAAAAAGCAATTGCCATAGTTAAATAAAAAACAGTGATCTTTGTAAAAGAGCAGTTACTCTTCCATAAAGATCTTTAGGCTAAAGAGATTGAGAATTCAGCAACTCAGTAATATCAATTTTTAAAAGCTTGGTCCCATCAGTATTACTATCTAGAGAGGACACTTAATAAAACTAGAGCTGCTTACAAAAAATAATGCTTTATTTCTTATACTGAATATTTTTTAACCACCTTCTCCTAAAATTTTTACAAGGCAATGAATAGAAACAAGAATGTAATAGAGCTAACCCCATAGCTTCTTGCAGAGAGAGGATGACAGACAAAATTAATAAACAGCCACTTGCACCATCTGAAAGGTGAGGATGTCAAGAGCGCCAAGAGCTCCTGGCATTTAGAACTCTTCAGCCTGTGAAACCATAAAACCCTGGGTTTCTCAATACTTCATAAATCAACCTCAGATAAGAAATCTAGCAAGTATAATAAAAATTTTTATTTGTTCTCTGATATTGCTTTTAAGGGGAGAGTCTAAGGAACAGAGGAGCAAGTTTCAGGGATGTGACTTAAATAAGAACCTGGCTGCAGGTGGTGAAGGTTGTAAACTCTTTTATCATTAAAACCTGTCACCTCGGCCACGCATTCTGAACACAGGCCGATTTCATCTCCTGCTGAGAGTCTATATTACACCAAACCAGATAATAGTGGTGTCCATTAATCTCACCGCATGATTTGTACAGCGATGTGTTCCAGATCTTGCTATTTGGAGCTTGTTATGCTTTATCTCGGTGTTTGGGACTTTTCTGTTTTTAATTTTTGTTTGGTTATCTTTTCTCGGCAACATTTTTCAACCATGGATTTTGTGTATTGTTAATGTTTCCCAGGAGTATTATTTATATTCACTGTTCCTGATGCCAGAGATAACAAAAAGTTCAAAAATGTGCATCCTTAAATTACACTCTGGTACATACTTGGGCATTCATGATGGGGACATGTGAAAAATTGCTGTTAACTTTCTTTAATGGGAGAAATTCTCCAGGAAAATAGCGTCATTGGGAGTAAATTTTTAGCCTTTCATTTGTTTCTGGAATAATAAATAATACAATACTTATACATGAGTTTATCTAGAGAAGTAAGCTACATAAAATTGTTTTTAAAACCAAAAATTTATTTTTCAAAGCAACCTGATACAGAAACATGGTATGAGGCTGGGTGTGGTGGCTGACAACTGTAATCCTGTCACTTTGGGAGGCCAAAGTGGGGGGATCGGTTGAGCTCAGGAGTTCAAGACCAGCCTCGGCAACGTGGCGAAACCCTGTCTCTACTAAAAATACAAAAATTGGCAGGGTGTGGTGGCTTGTACCTGTGGTCCTAGCTACTAGGACGGTTGAGGTGGCAGGATGGTTTCAGCCTGGGAGGCAGATGTTGTAGTGAGCTGAGATCCCACCACTGCACTCCAGCCTGGGTGACAAAGTGAGACCCTAACTCACACACACACACACAAGGAAACACAGTATGGGAAATAGAGAAGGATGGAGTTGTTCCTGTTGAGGATATGGTCTTTGAATCTTCCTGCCTTGCCTGAACCTCCTCTTCCGACCTGGCTAATTCCTTTGTGCTCTACCCTACATCCACATATATTTTGTGAAACCGAATTTGAAAAACACTGCCCTGTATAACTTTTTAGGCAGAGGGAAAAATATTTAAAATGTCAGCCTTCAGTAGAAATGTCATATATATAACATAACTTCTTTTAGATCTGATATGATAAATTCCAGAAATCATTTTACATGAAGTGATTTTTCTTTAGTGCAATGAGAAATCAATAACTTTAGATATGCTGAATGCCTGGTGTTTTTCATAGCTTGGACCCAGTTTATTTCACCTTGGAAATTTTTCACAGAATAAATGTTTTTACCATATTTTGCCTAGATAACAGTATGAGAAAAGAAAAGAAAACCATACATTCAATCAGACATAAATTTAATGCAAAAGGAACAGTTCTCAGGGAATTCTTGAGATTGTTTTAAAATTCATGATCCATGGGTTCTTTATTCATTTGCACCTACTTTTGCATGTTCGTATGTAGATTACAGGTACAACTTGAAAACACAAATCTTAGGTGGTAGATGAAATTTTATATTTTTAACTTAAATCTATGGGTACAGATTTGAAACTACTTTTTTTTGTAATTTTATTTTGTATCCATATTGGTATCCCGAAAAGAAAACCAAAAACATTTTCTAGAAGAAACCAAGTAGAAAAAATATTTTAAAAATTAAAAAAACACAATTATTTTCTATCGCTCATCAGAAAACTACACATGGTTTGAATGCACATGATGTCTTTCCATCCCTCCATCTTCTCTGTCACGAATGAGCTAAATGCACAAGTCCAGACTTCCGGAATCCAGCAGTCAGCTGCATGGAGGAGTGTTTGTTTTCTCTATGAATTTTACATCACACATCAAGCTCAGATTATTTCAAATATTTCAGGAGAGCCTATACTTACACTGGCACAGAGTTTGCACTGATCGTAATTTGAAGGCTGTTCTATAAATGGAATTCTCAATACTATTAAGAGCATCTGTAAAGAAAACATAAAATATTATGAATAAATTACTCTCTCATTATATAAATCCCACATCCTGGAAGGAAATCCTAGGGATCATGTAACCTTACTTTATTTTGCAGGTGAGAAATTAAGGTTTAGAGTTCCTTTTTTCTTTCTGTAAATAAATAATAATAGGCTTAGATTATTCTAGGGCTACAGGTGAACCAAGTTCACCTTCTCAGTCCACCAAAAAGTGGGGAATACTCCATCTGTCAACTTTTTATATAAAATGTCAATGGCCTTTGAAATAAACAGGATTTTTAAAAAACTATGTAGAATATAAATTCAAGTTTGCAAATACATTCTAGTTAGATGTGGACACATTTATTTATGCATAAATGAAAAAGACCCCAAAGCTATCCATCTACTCTTACATTTAGCCAATATTTTTTGAGTCCTTACTGTATGGCCCTGGCATGATTCTAGGCCCCTTGAAATATAGCAATCAACTAAACAGATGAAGATGGCCACTCTCGTGAAGCTTAACTTCTAGTACCATCTACCAAATTGTTAACAGAGAATATCTTTGGGTGCTTTAATTATTAGTGTTCATGGTTATTTTCTCTCTACTCAATATTATCTAAGTTTTCTATAAAAAGTATATGTTATTTTTATAATCAGAAAAATAATTATTAATATATACCTTCTTTTGAGAATACCACCACCAATAGCATGACAACAATAGTGGGCATTCCTGAGCCCTTCTAGGCACTGAGTGTGTGTTTGCCCATTTCACGGTGCGGAGGAGAGGCGCGCACTCTGGAGCCAGCCATACTTCGTTTTATTCCTTTTTCCTTAAAATTAGTTACTTTTCATCTTCAGCTTCTTCATCAAGATAAATGGGAATTATAATACATTCCTCAAGGAGTATTTGCACATTTTAAATAAGAAAATGTAGGCAATATATTTCCTAAATTATCTTACTTCCCTTAAGGATCCATGATTTTAAATTTTTTCCATTGATCCTCCAAATTTGATTTTTTTTTAATTTAAGAGACTGTAACAACATTACAACAGAGGTTTTCATTGCTTAAGACTGAAATGATCAATCTTCATATCTAGAAAAAACAAAAACTACAGAGTAGATCTCCCCATTTAGTCATATTACCTTTAATACTATTCAATAAAGCTATATAAGATCATACACATTAATAGCTTAGTTTGTTTTAGACAGTTAAAATGACCTCTTCTAACCTATTATTATTGGTATAAGCTAGTGGACCTGAAAGTATGGCTCCTGGACCAGCAGTAGCAGCAACATCGCCTGGGAACTTGGGAGAAAAACCATTTCTAACAAAACTCTAAGAAGTCTTCGATGCTAGGATCTAGGGGTGAGAATCTAGGGGGCAACCTGAGTCTTAGCAGGCCCAGGGGTAAATCTGATGCAAAGGAAAGTTTGAAAACTATGGATATAAAGGGAATTTATTGCTTCTGCTTTTTATGACTAGTTTGATTATTGGAGGTCTTTGTGACAGCAGTTTCAGTGGGGTCATGGGGGGTCAAAATCAAATTGCAGAGGAGTGAGCACTGAGTATAAGGTAAGGAGAAACATAAAACCAGGCAACTTTTTCAAGATCTTTAATGTGAAGGGAAGACAAGAGAGCCACAGCTAGAACAACACATAAAATCAAAGTTGGTTTTCAAAGGCAGGAAAGATTCCAGAGTCCACCCAGCAACCATTTTTCTTTCTTCAGGTGAACCACCTCCCCTAATCTGAGTACATGAAATTCCAGTAGTGTCAACTGCAACTCTCTCACTTCCATGTAGGCAAGTGGTCCAGGCCCAGCCCATCAGTGAGAGCACCATCACACTCACCAGAGGTGGGCACATACCAAAATCAGGCAAGTAATGGGCCAAAGAAACTGGATTCAAGGACTCTTGGTTCAAGTTATCAGGGAAGCAGACTTTTTTTTTCTGGACTTGAATTTGGAATTGTAGATTGGAGCAGCAATCACTCTCTTGTCAAGTTGTGTAGCTTGAGAATGAAATCAGCACACAAGGGTGAGCAGAGATAAACTTGGAGATGGAGAGAAATCACTTCCTGGTGACAATGTCTCAGCCCAGGAAAGCTAGTCCTGCCTAGGGCTATTTGATTTATTTTCATTTGTTTTAATTGACAAATATTGCATATATTTATTGTGTACAACATGCTTTAAAATATATATAACACTTTGGGAGGCCGAGGCAGGGGGATCACGAGGTCAAGAGATCGAGACCATCCTGGTCAACATGGTGAAACCCCGTCTCCACTAAAAATACAAAAATTAGCTGGGCATGGTGGCGTGTGCCTGTAATCCCAACTACTCAGGAGGCTGAGGCAGGAGAATTGCCTGAACCCAGGAGGCGGAGGTTGCGGTGAGCCGAGATCGCGCCATTGCACTCCAGCCTGGGTAACAAGAGCGAAACTCCGTCTCAAAAAAAAAAAAAAAAAAAAAAAAATATATATATATATATATATATATGACTTATGGAATGGCTACATTGAACTAATTAACATATACATTATCTCACATATTTATTTTTGGTAGTAAGAATACTTAAAATCTATTCTCTTAGCAATTTTCAAAATATACTACATTGTTATTAACCATAGTCACCATGCTGTACAGTAGATCTCTTGATTGGGTTATTAATTTTATAAGGTAACACAGCCTTTTTGAGCTAAGTTTTCTGCCACAATCACTGAAATATGGCCAACTGCTCCCATCGCTGCGGTAGAGAGAGGGAGGAAAATGTACGGGTGAAGGAATTAGCTTTGTTAAGAAGCCATCTCTTATTCCCTGAGAGGAAGCATAAAAGGAGATGATGATAGGGCTGGGGAAATGGGCTGAGAGCTTCTGTTTTCTTTGTAAAGTTGAGGGCATGTTCAGGCACTTAGAGTTAGGAGGAGGTGGTGGAGTAGAAAACTTGAGGAATGGTGAAGATTTGGACTGGTTACAGTGAAGAGTGAAAGAGGAAACCAGTCACAAACTTTGGAAAAGAACTTTCAAGCCATAGTGCATCTCCAGTATTTCCCGTGATAAAAAATTCCAATTAAATAGAGTTTACACCCAGAACCGCTCATTCTGAGGCAAGGATTTCACACACAAGCAAGCTCTGAGGACAAGACTTACTTGTGTTTATGAGGCCCAGAGGAAGAAGACTTGAGGAAAATGAAGCAACGTTCAAATGTAATGCCAGCTGATCCACATAAAACTCAGGCAATGAGGAGTTAGGCTGTGCTGGGGAGTTTTGCGACTAGAAACACAGCCAGGTCTCCAGCCTTGAAACAGGCCCTGGGCAAAAATGAAACCAGGAACTGCTTGGTGTATTTCTTTGATTCAAATGTATGTGGCAAGACAATTTGCTGGTGACATTCAGTTTTGTCTTGTTCTTGCAGCAAGGGGAGAATTTAAAGAATGGAAAGGCGATGTGCCTGTGTCCATCCTGTAAGTCTAAGCTGTTCTAACTCCTTTGGGAGATCTCACAGTGTCTTTGTGTTTAAGGGTCACTGTTGAAATCAACTCAACTCAGGCCTTTTTATGAAAGTATGGACAGGCCCATGAAAGAATTAATCTGGAATTTTCCTGGAGGTGGGAAGAGGCAGATGCCTGGATGGGAAGTTGGGAGATGTCTTACTGGGAGGTGTTTCCAGGGCTGCCCTTCCTAGCAGACCCCTGAGTGGAGGAATGGCTGCATGGTATAGCCAGGGAGATCAGCCACAGGTGTGACAAGGACTTCGGTGTCCAGTCTTGACATGGAGTCCCATGTCTTCAAGTGGAACCCAAAGCCAGAAGCAGAGAGCATCACAAGTGGTGGTCACAGTGGACTTCAGTCTGGGGCTTGACCAGAGGTTCAAGGTAGCAGCCTTAGAGCTTTCTGTTTGTCTCCCAGGGATGGTTCCCTCCCAAACTTAACTCAGCCTAAATTTCGTATCAAGGTACGGTGACTTGATTTTGATATGCGAAATGATGTTTCTTGCCCTTGAGTGTTGTGGGGTAAAGTCCTAGCTGTTACACATAAGATACTGAGTACTAAGCACTGTGTGGAGCCACAGAGGGGGTTATGGCGCTGAACCAGGACAGAGCCTTCCCGAAGGAGTATGGGCATGCTACAGGCCTCTCTCTGAATGTATACTGATCAACAATCAGCATATGATCATGATTTGATTTAAAAATGTTCAGTTTTCAGACAAGACGCCAATGTTAGAGAATGGGAGATGTCAGAAACACCTCTGTCCTATGTCTGGAGAAAGGAAACAAATTGAGAGAAGGTATAGTAGGGTGGAAATAATTTGCAACAGTGTAATGCCCAACATTTCTTTCCTCTGGAAATTGGCCAGTGTTTGTGCCCTGGTTCCTCTCAGATTCACCAAGCAGATACAGAGAATCAGCAAACAAGGGGCCTCTGCAAGTTCCCAGATGCTGCTGTTGGTGGAGGAGTGACTCTGTAGCTGCTCTACCATCTGGCCATCACTCTCCTGTCAAGTTCTGCTTTGCAGCGTCATCTGATGAAGCTATACAGCATAACATGGCAAGCTGTGATACAGTGCAATGTGGAAAATGAATGAGCAGCCCAGGTGATCCAACACCAGACCCATTTCCTCAAGGCTAACTTTTACACTTTTTTTCTGATGACGAAAAAAAAAAAATCAAGAGAAGAAGAAATTACCAAATGTATCATGCCCAAAGCTACGAACAATGTAGTTTCAGAAGCTTAAAGAAATAGTAACAGAAGCTACATGTGTTCTTGTTCATGGAAGCAATATGATTGAAAAATATCTTTTGATCAGGATTCTTGGTTTTGCTTAGCTACAGCAATATATTTATTTTCCACTGATACTAAGGTGGATGTAATACAATTCTTTCAAATGTCCATCATCTAGTTTGATGATCCAAAATTGATGCTTTAGGCCAGTGGTCCTCAGAGTGTGGTCCGAGGGAGCAGCATCAGATCACCTGGGAACCTGTTAGAAACGCACATTCCGGACTCTTCTCCAGACCCACTGAATCACAAACTTAGCAGCATATTAACAAACTTGGGCGATTCTGATGCATGCTAATTTTGAGACACACTGCTTCAGAAAAAGAAAATTGTGAGCTGAATGGGACTCTCTACTGTTTTGTGTAACGTGTTAATATGAGAGTCCATATTTGGAAAACCCAAAGGTATTGGAATCATTTATAACGTTGTTTTAGATAAATAACTAGGGATCATACACAATTTCGTATCAAACAAGTAAGATAACAATGTAGATTCTGGTTAGCGGAATAAAGCTGCAAATAGATCCAGCAATAGAAATGCCACAGATCTGTTTTCAGTCTAACTTGGCATTCAGTGATGTTAGAAGAAAAGGGAACTAGTTTCTTCATATCCATTTATCAAATTTTCATATGGTAACAGCTGTGAGACCTTTCTCCCAACTTTGGAACCACACGGTACTGTTAAATTACCCATGACATTAAAATATATATAATCATGTCATTTTAATAGTAAACTATGAGTATAAATAAAGCTAAAATAATAGTTTTTGTATTTTTGAATAGCAATTAAAATGCAATTATGTTGACATCAAGATTTTCATTCGATTATTTTTGGTGCTTTCGAGACAATAGACCAAATACTCTTCAGTACAGGGTGGCTTTCTGTTTAGAAACGAGAGAAGGCCACTTTAATCAAATAACAGTTTCTTTTTCAGCCAGAAAATTGCCAAATGTTTACTCTTTTTCAAATCAGAGGTCTGAAAATATAACATCTGTGTCTAATTTTTCTGTTTGCAAACTATACTCAGAAACTTGACAATAATGCTCACCTTGTTTATCTGGATCCATTTCACAAATTTCCTGGAATGACAGATGGCAAGTCGATCCCTGTAAGTAGAAATGAACCAGTATTTTAAGCAGAAGGTTTTGCAGCAGAGTAATGAGGCCAGGGGAACAAAAAGGCAACCAAACAAATCATTGCAGTCACCTGTGGAAAGTGACTGCAAGGCGTTCAGGAAGACTGAAATAACTTGGAAGGAAAAAAACAAAACAAAACAGAGAAACGTAGAGGTAGAGGCTCCCAATACTGGCCACGCTTCTCAGAAAACTGAGAACAGCTCCTGAAACTAATACTGTGATGACTTAGAGCCTTTGAGGCATTATAATTTTAAGAGTGGACTGTATTCTTACTTTAAGACGATATCAATTTACTTGAATTTTAAGAACAAACTTTGAAGCTCCCAATACTTAAATTTTTAATGACACTATGCTAAATAATTCTACATATTAAATTTCTGATGAAAGCTATCAATTCGTCACATATGTGTATATGTATACATAGGATTCTGTTAATAGTTTATTTTTAAAAGAGTTGTCAATTAGCTACCTTTGTTAATTGTTTCATGTTGCAACTATTGTTCAAACAACACACAAACACACATACATGAGGGGCTTGTGGAAAATGTATGTTATGAAGAAACTAGGCAAGGATTTCAAAAATTTTTTTGTACCGAAATAAACTCACACTAACATGTTGAAGCATGTCTGAAAGGATTTAGTTTGAAGCAGTAAGAAGGGTATCAGTTTGAAAATAGCCATTAGAGCAACATTAATTCTACTAAAATCGAAGCAAGAGCAAATATCAAATGTATGGTGAAGCGTGGGTAGAAGAATAGTGAAATCATTGATGCTTTTCAAAAAGTTTATGGGGACAATGCCCCAAATAAATCAGTAGTTTACACCAATGAATACTATGCAGCTGTATAAAGAACAAGATCATGTTCTTTGCAGGGACATGGGTGGAGCTGGAAGCCCTTATCCTCAGCAAACTAATGCGGGAACATAAAACAAAGACTGTATGTTTTCACTTATAAGTGGGAGCTGAATAATGCGAACACATGGACACAGGGAGGGGAACAACACACAATGGGGCCTGTTGGGGGTGCAGGAAGAGGGAGAGCATCAGGATAAATAGCTAATGCATGCAGGGCTTAACACCCAGGTGATGGGCTGATAGGTGCAGCAAACCACCATGGCACATGTTTACCTGTGTAACAAACCTGCACATGCTACACATGTATCCCAGTATTAAAGTAAAATTAAAAGAAAAAAGCAATCAGTAGTTTACAGAGGTATAAGTCATTTTGAGAAGGGATGAGGTAATGTAGAAGATGAAGCCCATAGCAACAGATTATCCACATTAATTTCCAAGGAAAAAAATGAACTTTTTTCTTTTAAAAAAGTAAATGCTGTAATTGAAGAGGAAAAACAATTAATGGAAGAAACAATAGCCAACTCCATAGATAGCTCAACTGATTGACCTTACACAATTCTAACTGAAAAATTAAAGTTATGCTAGCTTTACACTGGAAGCCTGCCAAGACCATTGCACGTAGATTAGCTACAGACAAGAGCAGAGTCAATGGAAATTTTAAACACGTGGGACCAAGATTCTGAAGGCTTTCTTTGAAGAATTGTATCAATAGATGAAACATGGCTAAGCCCAGGTAGGCTTAGAAGGGTCCAGCCTCCCGAACAGTCAACAGGACAGCTGAAGATATCATCTATCTGCCTCCACGCCAGGTCCTTACCTTTCTTAGTTTCTCTGGAGAAGCATTCTAGTCGAACCTCCATATAAATGACTCAGCAGTAGTGGAAGACAGAAGCTGAGTAAAATCAGGTTTCCAGATGTAGCATTCCTATGCAGAGTTGATTTCTTGTTCTGGCTGCCCAGCAATTGCATGCAAAACAGTAATATTTGTGAATGCAGTGTTTTCAGGGCTTACAGAAGTGCATTCATTAATAATAAAGATCCTGAATATTTAAGGCTACCCCCACATCTCTTATTTCCAAGGGCCATTTTCATATCAGTTTCATGTGTGAAGAGGCAGGTAAAATTTCTGGGTGCTACTGAAAGCAGGGCATTCCACAGAGAGCAGCGAGCAGTCAGAAGGGCTCCATGTCCCACATAACCGCCACCTTCCAAACTAACTCAGGAGTTACCTAAGAGTGGAACTGAAATCATTTTATTAATTCTTTTATAAACACAGAGATGTGGTTACACATTTTTTAAAGGTGTTAAATATGATGCAGGTCTTAGAAAGGATAATAATAATTTGTTACGAATGTACATTTCCTCTTACAGTTTAAGTATACAGTAATCTGAAAATGTCTTATTTCTATAGTTAAGACTAAAAATGAACTTATTCTAATCCAAATAGGATTTTTAAAAGATGATGTCCCATGAACCAAATGTATTACAACTTTACCATTAATAACTTCAAGCTGTTGACAAGGTAGGGAGTTGATATAGTTTGGCTGTGTTCCCACCCAAATCTCACCTTGAATTGTAATAATCCCCACATGTCAAGGGCAGGCCAGGTGGAGATAATTGAATCATGGGAGCTGTCTTCCCCATACTCATAATAGTGAATAAGTCTCACGAGATCTCATAGGTTTATAAATGGGAGTTTCCCTGCAGAAGCTCTCTTGCCTGCCATGCTGTAAGACATGCATTTCCTCTTTCTTTGCCTTCCACCATGATTGTGAAGCCTCTCCGGCCATGTGGAACTGTGAGTTCATTAAACTTCTTTCCTTTATAAATTACCCAGTCTGGGGTCTGAGAACAAACTAATATAGGAGTCAATGTTAACATATCTTTCAAAAATGTTTGAACTGCAAGCATAGGTGTGTTACTCTGTGAGCAGCACCTGGAGAGCTGAAATATCTGAGTGTTCAGGTCCCAAAAGTTACAATTAAAACAACTCTGATAGGTGATCACAGATTCACTCTAGAATGTCCCATAATAAAATCAGCTTTGAAAAGTGAGTATGATATCCAATAATCACTAATTTATTCTTTCCTTTTTGAAACATATTAGTATCACATTATTGGTTTCCTAAAAATGGAAACTTGAGACATTTAAAAAAATAAAAATTGATAAGTAATGGGGCAAGAATGGAATCAAGTGAAGGAGAAAATAATCTGTCATGTGTCTTTGTCTAGACAAATGACTGATTTTCTGTGAACAGATAAGACAAAAATCTAGGAAGAAAGTAAGTCTATCTCACACGAAATCTGTATCAGTTTGAGTGCTGCAGACGCAAAGCTGAAATTGTATTTAGAAGTTTTATATTACATTATATCTGCATCATGACACATCATAGTGTCTGAGGTATCAGCAATAGAAGGAGGTTTGAACATTTTTCTGAGTGCTGACATTTTTAGATTTCAGTAGACATCTCTGGCATTGACTAATTCTGTGGAACAAGGATCGTGGTGCAAAAAAAAAAAAAAATTGCCTGAAGTTTCAGTCAAAGTAACATAATTAAATAGACAAATGGTTAAGTACCTAAGAATGAACCAGGGTATGTTGGAAAGTAATCTAAGCAAATGGGCAATTGATAGTCCTGAGCTCTTAGCATGGCTGGATTTCAGACATGCTTAGAGAAAAGGTCTGAGAACTGTTTTGGTTTCACTTACTTCTGTCAACTGGAACTTTGTAGTTACCATTGCAGTCCCCTGGCTCAAGTTCACGTAGACCTGGTCATATTAAGACTTTTCCTTTTCTTCCCATAAAATGTTTTGGGTTATAAATCAAAACCAGTTTTTTTCTTCCTATAAATGTTTTAGGTTCTAAATCAAATTTATGATCTTACAAGATCATAAATAACTGATGAGGTGGCATTCTTTGCTAGCAAGGCAGTAGTTTCTGTATATCATAATTGGTAATTGACTCTGTCTTTATCTTGAGCAAGCAGTAGGAAGAGGGTACAATCTTTCCGCACAATCATAATTTGCCCTGGTTGGGACATAAATGTTTCACACCAGCCAGAAGCTGGGCGTCCACTCCTTCTTGTGTATAGGCACTGTTTCTGTTCACTCTCTCTCTCTCTCTGATGGCTCCTTACACATACATTTGAAGACTATAACTCCCAAGAAAGAAAGAGGATTTACATGTATTTACATATATGATGAATAATCTCAGAGAAAAAATTAAGTTACTAAAGTTGACTCAAGAAAAAAATAGAAAACCTATATCAAGGAAGATAGAACAAATGAACTTAAAATATTACATTCAGAGCGCAGATCATGTTATGGGTCAAGGCTTTGAGGCTTTAAAAACACAGAAGATTTTTATACTTTGAAAATGGTTAGAAGACCTAGAAGGTTACCAAATTTATTTTATGAAGCCAGCAAAACACTGAATGCCAAAAATGACAAAGCAATAATAATATCTTTCTCTGTATCGCACACATACTCTCACATAAAAATATATGAGCTGGTATAATTTATAAATATCGTGAGAAAATCCTAAAGAAAGAACCTAGAAACCACATATTAAAAGAATAATTTACCATAATTGAGTAGGTTTTATTCTAGAGCTACAAAGATGCTTGATATTTGGAATTGATAATATAACTATTAATAGATCCAGTAAGTGAAATCAAGTGATAATTTCAGTAGATGTTACAAAGACATTTAATATTATTAACTAACAAAAATGGTATATGCTTATTGTGTGTGTGATGTTTTATTTATTTATTTATTTAGAGACAGGCTCTCGTTCTCTCGCCCAGACTGGAGTATAGTGGCATGGTTATAGCTCATTGCAGCCTCAAACTCTTGGGCTTAAGGGGTCCTCTTGCCTCAGCCTCCCAAGTAGGTAGCACTACAGGTGCCTGCCATGTGTCTGGCTATTTTTTTATTTTTCATTTTTGTGGAGGCAGGGTCTTCCTATGTTGTCCAGGCTGATCTTGAACTCCTGGCCTCAAGCAATCCTCAGTCCTTGTCCTCCCAAGTTGCTGGAATTACAAATGTAAACCACTGTGCCCAATGGGATATTCTGAAATATATATATTCAGGGATGAATATATATATGGGATTATGGGATGACTAAATTCATCTAATTAGTATGTATTACCTCACATACTCATTTTTGGGAAGAGAACACTTAAAATCTACTCTGTTAGCAATGTCTGAGAATATATAAATTGTCATAAACTATAGTTGCCATTTTATACAATAGATCTCTCCAAGTTATTCCCCATGTCCTACAGAAATTTTTGTATCCTTTGACCAATATCTTCCCAACCACTCTCCTCTCTCAGCCCCTGGTAACCATCAATCTAGTGTCTACTTTTATGAATTCAACTTTTTTAAGATTCCACATATAAGTGAGATGATGCAAATATTTGTCTCTTTGTATATGGCTTATTTTACTTAATGTAATGTCCTCTAGTTTCATCCATGTTGTTGCAAATGACAGAATTTTTTTTAAACACCTACCAGTATTCCATTGTGTATATACACCACATTTCCTTTATCCATTCATCTTTTGATGGACACTGAGGTTTACTCCAATCTTGGCTATTGTGAATAGTGCTGCAGTAACATGAAGGTCAGATATCTCTGATAACAATGATTTATTTCCTTTGGATATATAACCAGTAGTGGGATTGCTGGTTCATGATAATTCTATTTTTAATTTTTTGAGAAAACTCCATATTGTTTTTCATAATGGCTGAATTAATTTACATTCTCACCAATAGCATGAAAGGATTCCCTTTACTCCACCTCCTTGCCAACACTTGTTATCTTTTCTCTTTTTGATAACTGCCATTCTAACAGGTCTGAGGTGAGATCTCATTGTGGTATTAATTTCCATATTCCTGGGGATTAGCGATAGTGAACATTTTTTTCATAAACCTGATGGCTATTCGTTGTCTTCTTTTGAGAAATGTTGATTCAGGTCTTTTGCCCATTTTAAAGTCAGATTGTTTTCTTGCTATTTAGTTGTGTGCATGTCTTATATGTTTTGAATGTCCACCCTTTATTTGCATGTTTGCAAATGTTTTCTCCCATTCTGTAGATTGTCTCTTCATTCTCTTGATTGTTTCCTTTGCTATGCAGAAGCATTTTAGCTGAGGTAATCTCATTTGCCCATCCTTGCTTTTGTTGCCTGTGCTTTTGGGGTCCGATCCAAAAACTCGTTGCCTAGACTGATGTCATGGAGATTTCACTTTACCTTTTCCCCATTGTTTTACATCTTCTGTTTCTTATTTCATGACTTTTGCCACAATTTGCAGAGCAGGTTAAACACATAAAAATTATAAAAACAATCCAGTCAGAAAATATTAAAAAAGATTTAACTCATAATTTGAGAGAAATTTAAAAATATTTAGGTAGAAAGCTACCAACATTAGGTAGAATGCTATGATTTCATGGCTGAGGCTTCTAAAACTGTACATCAAATTCATCAATGACTTCCATACTGCTAAGTCCAAAGTACATCCTTCTACCTTTATCTTAGTTTTTTTCTTACTAAACTTTATTTTGCAATTTCAAAATACGTAAAAGGTGGAAGAATAGTAAAAAAAAAAAAAAAAAAAAAAACCTCTCTTATACTCTTCCTCCAGAATCACTAATTGTTACTGTAAAAATATTTATACAAATACATACATATTGTGATTTTATTCTGAACTATTTAAGAGTAACTTATAGACATTTCACCTTTTTACTCTTAAATACTTCAACCTGTATTTTTAAAAAGATTATTCCCTTACATAGCTACTATATAATATTTTAAATAAAGAAATTTACATTAATAAAATGCTATCATCTAACAGACAGTATTTAAATTTTGCAAATAGTGTCCTTTATAGCATTTTATTTCTTGATCCGAGATCTAATTCAGCATCATGCATTGCCTTTAGTTGCATATTTCTTTAGTACCCTGTAATTTGGAACACTTCCTCAGCCTGTTCTTATTTATTGTGACATTGATATTTTTGAATAGTATAGGTCAATTATTTTGTAGGAATTTTCTCAAATTGAGTTTGCATGTTGTTTCCCCAAGATGATTTTTCAATGTGTACATTGCTGGGGAGCAAGGATACTAGAAGAAATTCTTTGTCCTTCTTAATGAAATCACATGAGGAGGTTCATTGCTATGGGGATGCCAATGTTTATCGTGTGACATTACCTGTTATACTTAATTAAG